TAAATAAATATATAATATTAAAAAAGAAATGATTATAGATTATAATAATTTAACTTTTTGCACTCGAAAGTTTATTTTAACTCAAATTATACATTTATTATGTTATGAATAGGAAATTATTTGTATTTAAATTGAAATGACTCAGGAGCAGAGCCATTTCACATTTGTTTTCAAACTTGAAGGTTCTGCTCGGGAGTCCTCGAGTGCAAAGAGTTAAATATATAGGACTAATTGTTTCAAAGAGACAAAATGTTGATCTATTAAATAATTATTTAAAATATCAGGATAAATTGATTCGTAGCACTTATTTAAATAGACAGAACTCTCCAATAGTTCTGTTATTCTTTGCATCACTCTAACTTGATTGTTAATATTGACGAATAGACATTAAAATTAAAATGATTACTTGAAAATTATTTAAAAAATCACTACACACGATTGCAAGACAATTCAATAGCATGACGTCAAAATATACATTTATTTGAATCATTAATTCATTATAAACAAATTATACTTACAAAGGATATTAAATCTAGAAACACTTATTCGTGATAGTCATTCTTTTTCAATAGTATAAGATAAAAAATACAAAATAATGTAAGAATTTATTAGAGTAAAAGTTTTCATTCATTGAACTTTTACATACCTGTGCACACTCGGATATTATTATTGATTATTTCATTTTTTTCTGTGCCTATCGATCACTCTCACAAAACGATACAACATACAATCTCAGTGTTCATAGAAACTGAATTTCATCAAATTTAACAATGGTTCAAAATTCTATCTCACAAAATGTGTGATATTTTTCCTTATTTACATTAATATTCACGCTCCTCTCCTCCATTTTTCACCATTACTAAACTTAGTCATTTCTCGACCACTTACGCCACATGTACCGATACCTACTCTACCATTAACATTTTCTGGTGTTGCAAATATGCTTTTTTTTATTACACCCTTCTTCGAAGACTAAAAATAAATGAAATATTAATTAAATAATTGTATGTTTATAAAAAGTAATATTATTGTTTTTTATCGCTTACCTTATTTGTAAAAGCTAACCATTTATTTTTTTCCATCTCACGTTCCTCCTCAAGTTCCTTGAATCGTTGTAACTTTCTTTGTTTTTTTTTCTTAAGATATTCTCTTTGCTTATTTGGATCAGCTCCTGCAATAGCAGCCGCTTGCATTTTTCTGTAAAGTAATTAATTCATCATTTAATGCAATACAACCATAATATTATGGATATTAATATAAGTGTTCATATTTAATATCTTAATCAATTAACGAACAATAAAAAGTACATACAATAATCTGTAAAATGTTTATATTAAAAAAAAAGATTATTAAAAAGTACTTATAATACTACATATGTGATTCCATGTTTGCAACTGCTGTTCTTAATACATCTGTAACAATACTTAGATTTTATTATGGATTATATATAAAACAAAGAATAAATTTGTTGTAGAAAGTCTATGGTATCTGTTTACCTTTTCCTGGAATCCACAGACGTACATAGATAACAGGAAACCAAGGGATCAAATGAATGATAATGGGGTTTCAGGTGGAAGCACATCATACGGTAGAATTATTATTGTGGACCAATGGGATTTGAATACGAAGAAAAGAATAATGGATTAGTAATAGTTAAATCATTTAACAAATTATCCCTTCATGTTCCACTAATATTAAATGATGCTTATTAATATAAGTGTAGAAATATGAATTGATACATTGATAGTAATTTAATAAATTTAATCCCTTGCACTATGATTTAACGCATTGAGCTGTATATTATATTTTATGCTTCTTATGATGTTTGGATTTTTGTTTCTCATGTTTGGATTATAAAGCATATTACAAGTCTCATGTGTTGTTATAGTGCAAAGGATTAATAAAATTTGTATATAATTTACTTTGATTTTTGATCTGCCCAATCGGAGGCTGGCCTTTTGGCTATCGATTTGAGTTGACTAAGCATGGTAACATCAGTATTTTTGTATTCATTAAATGTGACGTTTACAACTCCATCCTCGCTTATAACATCTATGGTTGCCTCGTAATACCTACAAGTAAAATACTGAAGTTTCTTATCTAATAATTTGTGAATAATATGTATTATAATTAATAAGTAGTCCGTTAAGAACTTACTTGCCATCTTCGCTCCATGGAGCCATGCACTGATCACCAACCTTCCATTTATTAGCCAACACTGCAAGTAAAATAGGATCTTTAGCATCCATGCCATTGGCTTGCCTTTTTTCCTGTTGTTGTGATTTAATTAAATCATGCGTTAGCTCTATTACTTCTTCGAGATCGATTTTTAATTTTAAAAGTTCCTCATTAGTTGGATCTGTCGTAAGAGCAGCCTCAACCTAAAATATACAAACAAATAATATGCAATAT